TAATTCGCTTTTCTTTTGTATTTGCGTAATTCTGACTATCGTCTTTGTCTAAAATATTCATAGTTTTTTAATTTCATAAATAGTCTTCCTAATTTCGACGTTATAATTCGTATTATAACATTAAACAGACTGATAGTATCAGAGGGGGAGAGAACCATTGAAAACCAGTAACAGGGAGTACTGGACAGCTGTTTCATGATAGTTTGAGAATCATCAGTAGTACGCACCCACTGCCAGGGTTCGAACCCAGGACCTTCAGGTTACAAGGCGAGCTGGCTTGTATACCATTCAGCCACTGGGACCCGATCCAATGGCTCATGAATTCTAACTTCTGCCAATTCACGATATAGAAATGTTTACTTTCAAGGGCGAGTTAAGTTCAATTTTGTAAGGTAATAACATTGTGACTTGCTACAGGATGGAGTCTCCTGGAGTTAGTTCTAGTGAGAAGTCGTGACCAGTGAGGTCCAATTAGATGTCATGTGTGTGGATGGATGTCCCACCAACGACAATGGTTGGCGTCGCGCTAAATCACGAATTGGTAGAAGCTAGAATTCATGGACTGGCCTTTGAGTCGGGTCCCAGTGGCTGAATGGTATACGAGTTAGCTTGCCTTGTAACCGGAAGGTCCTGGGTTCAAACCATGGCAGTGGGTGCGTACTGCAGATGATTCCCAAACTAGGATGAAACTCCCTGGTTTTCAATGATTCCCTAACTGATATCAATCCGTGGTCAACTCGTAAAAAAAGATAGAGAATCACTGAAGACCTGATATCGATCCGCGGTCAAACTGGAAAAACAAAACTAATCCTTACAAACCAAACTCTTGAAAACTGATAATACATGAAGTATATATATATATATATATATTTGATTTACAGCTTGATTCCACACTGTATTTTTGGTACAAGTATGGAATTTTCAGCATGGATATCGGTAGCCCAAATTTTGCAGGCCGACCATAGATATCAGGTGTGCGCCGGCGTGGGCTCGAACCCCGGACCATGTGCATGGTTGGCGAGAGTCCTAACCACTATGCCACCGACGCACATAATATATCATATATCACCACTATTCAACACACTACTGTTTAGAAAAGTCTAAGGTATAACATATATAAGTTGTATAGTGTTCACACTAGCACGAATTAATTAATATCATCATGATACGATTATTATTGATAAAATAAATATGCGTTTGTTTTTGTTAAAAAGCTCACTATCAAAGTTTGTCGTCTCTTTGACCTAAAAACATATGCGATGGTCGACAATAAGTGGATTTTGTTTATTTAACCAACCAAAAAAAGGGTTATCGATAAAGAGATGTTCAAGTGTTGATAAGATTTTCAATTATTACCTTTCCTATCTGTGTAGTATAGTATAGTGTAGTGTAGTTTAGTGTTCTGGTGTGATTTGAACTGACAATATACAGTTTTGCAAGAATGTGACATTTATTTTTCCAACTTATTGTATTCGACTACAGAACAATTGTGGTTTAGAATTGTTTGTTTTAGAAGGGTTTAATATCCTCCTAAACAATTTTGTCATCTCTGGAGTAAAAGTTTCATATTTATTACTGTTTATTAGTATTCCTTTAGGTTCTGGGTGGAACATTGGTCTTCTACAGCACGTCTTCACTTTATGCTGTTCTCTGCAATCCTCTTTCGTGTGCTTCACGAATTTCCATAAGGTTTAATCTTCTCCTTATACGATAATATATTATTATTATTCCTTGGGTTCCTAGTGGAACATAGGGCTTCAACTGCACGTCTGTCTCCACTTGCTTCTGTCTTCCTTCTGCTGTACTTTTCACCTGAATCCATATTAGTCCATACTGTTTCAACTCCTCTTCACACACGATCTCTTCCATGTCACCCTTGCACTGACGACCCACTCGCCGCTTCCCTTTGGGATTCCACTCGAGCAATGGTCTGACGCGCGCGATGTAACCCAGTGGCCTCCTCAGTGAGCGAGTGTCCAATCCATCTCCACTTTCTCCTGCATACTTGTTGTTGTTGGGCGATTGGTTCTTGTTTTGTTTGTTCCCAGCCATAGTTTCTTGTTAGTGATTCTGTCCGGCCATCTGATCTTCAGTATAGCGCCATCGAAGACAGTTGTTGTTGATAAAGATCTGCAACAGGCTGTTGAAAATATTCTTTGTGACCCGCCCGCCCGCCAAGTTTCTGATCCGTATAGAAGAACTGACTGACTTGACGTTTGTTGTTGATGCTGGCTGAGTGACGAAGATTTACAGGTTGGTTTCAGATTGATGATGAATGTGTTTCTCGCCTTCCCGATTCTCGCTCGATTTGACATCCTCGTCCGTTCCGACTGCCTGTAGTTGAGACAATGCTCCCTAGATTCATACGATCTACTCCATGTTATTTTCGGATGCTCAACTTATCGTTTCCCAATCGGTTTCTGTTCGGCGGCATAGCGTCCGATGTCACTCAACAGTCTTCTAGGCGTGTGTATGATCCATTTCCTTCGGCATATTTGTCGGTCAATAGGTTATTTGTCAGACCTCCTTATTACCAGTCCTTTCTGGCCTTCTCATCTTCAGTATGAAGCGATGACATATGTTGATAAGAGAATTTTTGGGCTCACCTCGGGAGTTTTGATTAGAACTTTTCTTGGATGACTTCCTCTGTCTTCCTCTACGTATACATGGACATCTAGGTACCTGTCAATCGCAAGATAAATTTGATTATATTCTCTTGTACTCATAGTCCTGATTTGGCATGGAAGAGAAAAGATGAGACTTCTTGGCGAAGTACTGATTGAAAACAGACATCTAGAGTTGTTCATTTCAGTTCTTTCGATTTCTACGAGTAGTTTTATTCTGGATTTCACTGAAAATTGAAATTACAAACTCATTAGTGCTTACACAAGATGAAGAATGCGTTACAGTGAATTATGTTTTAGACCTATATACCATCAGTTGTTTACTAGCTTTAGAAGCAGTTGCAAGAAACCTTAAAAAGGATCAGCCTTTAAAGCAAAACTATGCTATAGAGAGTATGTATGTTAGGTATACATTTATTGGTGCATAAGTAGTCTCTGGGTTGAATCCCAGAGACCAGGCAATTTATTTGCTATCGTCCTGTCTTTCTCCTGTTCCTATTATTGACATGTAATACAAAATGAATATCGTTCATACAAATGTATTTAATCCAAATATCCATCAGACCGCTTTCTTGTTCTTGGTTATTTATCTTTCTCAAATCTCTGGTAGGAACTTGTCTGTCATTTGAATTTTTTATACTTAAAAGAAATTTACGTCTACTGTACATGCGTGCATGATACTGTTTGATGATCTGACGATCCAAAGTTTAAATCAATGATTTATAAGCCTCTCCTTCAGTAATTGAAATACCCGTCAGACCCTGTAACCTGCTATCCCCGTTAGACTGTGGAAAATGAGAGGACAGGAATATGCTGGACCGATATTAGGACACTAGAAGATTTGGATAATTACCGATAATCTATATCTCATGTCATATGGACTCGAAGGCTTGCATACGAAAAACAACAAGTCAGTGGAGGAACCAGTGAAGACAGGAAGGACTTCAAGTAAAGACAGAAAAGACGGAGGTATTGAAGATAACCAACCAACAACCGCAACATCAAGCACCAAACACTATCATTGGAAGAAATTCGAATGAAGTCACATCCTTCACTTATCTTGGAAGCATCGTTTCAGCTGAAGGCGACCGCACAGATGAGGATTTCAAAATCAGTATAGGAAAGACAAGACAGACAGTCATCACTTTGAAATCAGTTAGAAAATCTTCTGCACACCGCAACATAAACAACAATAAAATTCGCATTTCCAATACCAATTCTGAGTCAGTCACCTTTTCTACATGGATCAGAAACGTGCATTGAGTGTCTCGAAAAGCCTTTCCAACAAGCCACTGCAGATTTTTATCAATAGCTGTCACCTTCACAAGCTTCATATTGAAAGTTGAATGGGTGGCCAGAAGGAATTAACAACAAGAAACTCCGGGGGAAATCAACCAGGAACCTATCGGTCAAAAATTATTCTGAGGAAAATGGATCAAACTCACTGCGAGGAGACTGTCACCTGATATCGTACGCCAGGTCATCCCTCGAAAAGAAACCGAATAGGAAGGGACAAGTTGGGTGTTGGTCGGAGGATGACATGGGCGAAATCATGCGTGGATAAGATCAGAGATTATGGGCAATCGTGGGGCCAGCCAGCTAAAGAAGATAGCAGAAAAAAGAACAAAGTGAAAATGTGTTTTAAAAGCCGTATGTTCTACTCAGAACCCTAGGGAACAATAATAAATGATAATCTAAAGTGTCTCATTCAACTTAAGCAGGTTGTTAATGGTTCTTATATACTTGCTGAGTTTCATCAGGGTATGAGTGTTACTACTATGTGGTAAGAGCTGTCTACTATCCAAAATTGGTAGACAGCAATATACGTCAATGTTTACGTCCCAAATCTTGGTCATGAGAAAAAAACAGGAACAAAGGCTAACTCAACAACCAATCACAGCAGACTTTGCGTGGGCGGATACGATTAGCAGATGACAGAATAACCTTCAGCAGGAAAACAACCAATCGGAAGACGCTGTTTCTCTGCTAATAATAACGAATAATAATGTACATAAAAATATGTGAATATGTGTTGATTTCCTCAATAAAGTATCTGTTGCCTGGCCCTTGTCTTCTGTAGTTATACTACTACTACTACTAATGATGATGATAGTAGTAATTTGAAAAGTAGTTTGTGATGCCATTTTTCATTGTAATTATTACCAAAAATACAAGTATGATATTTTACTTCTTGTGATTGAAACCTAACGATACAGTAGGATTTAACTATGACCACAAACAAGCTTGTGTGTGTGTCGGCTAGGGTCGGATCGATATCATAGTTATAATTTATCACGAAATAATTTTAAAAAAATATTTTCTATATCTTTTTAAATTTTGTTATTATATATGCATTTACAATTCTCTCGATTTTAGGAACTTTCTACAGATCTTAGTAATAAACCAGTTAACGGTGAAGGATTAAATCTAGACTCAGCGATTGACTTGTCATTGCACACAAAGAAAGAGGATAAAACTTGGGCACAAAGAATACGTGAACTAGAACCAGTTGGTTGGATGATATTCATTGGAGATGGTGCACATAATTTTATGGATGGATTATCTATAGGTGTTGGATTTTCACAAAGTATTGGCCTGGGTATAAGTTTAACACTAGCTGTGTTATGTGAAGAAATTCCACATGAATTAGGTAAGCCTATCCAATATGTGCTCTACTCAGTTTTTCTGCTGTTTATCTGGGAGGTGATTTTTTTTACCACTAATGGTAACTTGTAGTCGCAAATACCTTATTATTTAAAGAGACTTAGTTTATCTAATTCTATGAAGGAATAAATACCAACAATTACTTATAGTGGTTAGTTGGCGTTTAACACCTTCCAGTCGCTGAAACCATTTGAAGTGATACTTTCGTGAAAGTCTGGTTCATTTTCAAAACTGTGAGATTCGATTGTTCATGATGAAATTGAACCAGGACGGAGTAGTTATTCAATTTTTGCGTGATTTATCAGTGATGATATATTCACTTCTCTCTGTCCTTTATGTTCTTCCATTGTCGTATGATTCTGTATTGTTTTATTGTCATTTGTTTGGCTTATAATTGTAGCGAATTGATGTGATACACTTCTATGAGAAATTTATTGTCTGTCGGTTAGCTGGAGTCTGATCAAAAAAGGAACTTGTTACAATATATATGAAGTTATATCTCGTGATAGTCGATCGTAGGAAGAGTTAAAGTGGACAACTTTTGAGACATGCATGTGTTCTGCTTCCAACTCTCCTAGAAAGAGTGGGAAGACGCTATAACTGATTGATTGGTCGTGTGAGATAGGCATCTTGCTGCTGTATACCTTTGTTCTCAAATCTTCAGCATAGTGTAACCTATTTGCTTTATAAAAGTAACTGCTTTCAGTTTAACTACTATCTAATTGATTTTTAAGGATTTCATAGCATAGATTGTTGGATCACATCAATTTAGCTCCTATTAATATGGATAGAGACAAGTAGTCTCGTGATAGATAACCTCTGAAAGTAAATTGCTGAAAAATGCATCAAAACAAAGCCTTTATTTGACGATATTCTTTGTGGTTGATACCACTGAACTGAGCTGCTTGGAACTGTGATGTCTTTGTATGCATTAGAATTCAATTAACAGAGAGAGAGAGAGAGCACTATGCGATTTTAAGTCCATTGTCCCAATATGTGGAGATCTGAACATAATTCCCTCCTCGGATAGTACGCCGTGTTGCTATCAATTTCTTAATGCCGATCGGAGTGTATCTTTTTTAACAGGAAATGACTTATGATCCTAATGATTAAAGATAAATTCTCCAACTCTGACATGAATTTTTGTATATCTCCGAAAGAAAATTGACTTTCTTCACTGTTACTAACACACTTTGTTTATTAAGAGTGCAGAAAAGCACTTTTGAAGCATCTTAAATTACCTGCAATCAAATTCTGATTACTCATTGGATTTAATCAGTTCTATAGCTTTATCACTTTGTGTTGAAAATTATTTTCTGATTGTTACAATGTTAATATCTTACAGAACTGAACTTAACTCGCCCTTGAAGGTAGACATTTCTACATCGTGAATTGGCAGAAGTTAGAATTCATGGGTTGTCCATTGGATCGGGTCCCAGTGGTGGTTGAATGGTATACGAGCCAGCTCGCCGTGTAACCGGAAGGTCCTGGGTTCGAACCCTGGCAGTTGGTGCGTACTGATGAAGAGTCCCAAACTGGGATGGAAAAGCTGTCCAGTACTCCCTGCAGGTTTTCTAATGGTTCTCTAACTAATGTCAGCTCATGATGAAATCCTGTAACCAATGAAATCCCTACAAACCAACACTTGAATTTCTACATTACTTTTATCATAGAAGGCTTTCTCTCCTAGAGACAAGTGGACACTGTATATGGCCTAGCAAGAATGTTTACGGACTTGTTAAGCTTCTTTTCTCAAAACACTCAAGTTTCACTGTTCCTCTGACAACTTAAAAAGTAATACTTCTGATTTAAGGAGTGCTGATTACGATAATGCCGATGATGTACCACCTTTTTAGTCAATTCTCTTTTTTTTGATATCAGTTGAATCTTTCTTAGATTATACGGTTAGAAGTAATAATAAATAATAATTTATTATTATTGCTCTGAGTGGAACATTGGGCTTCGACAACATATCTCCACTTTGTTCTATTTCCTGCTATGTCCTGTTTATCTGATCCCACGATTACCCATAGTCTCTGATCTCAAACTCGCACAATCTCCTCCATGTTATCCTCTGACCAACTCCCAACTCTTCATTTCCCATTTGGTTTCCATTCGAGGGATTACGCGGCGCGTGATGTCACTACTCAGTGGTCTCCTCTCTATCTCTCATGATATTTGTTGAGCAATAGATTCGTCACCGTTTTTTCTTCCAGAGTTTCTTGTTGCTAATTCCTTCTGGCCGGCCATTTGATCTTCAGCATGAAGCCAGTCAATGAACTTAGCAGCTGCAGTGGCCTGTTGGAAAGGCTTTTTATGACGCACAACTAACTTAACATTAGTGCTGACGATCCGAATTTTATTGCTGTTTATGCTGGGATGTGCAGAAGACCTCCAAACTGATTTAAAAGTGACGAATGTCTGTCTTGTCTTTGGGATTCTGGTTTAGACATCCTCCTTTGTGCTGTCACCTGTAGCCGAAATGAAACCTCTTTCAAGTTTCTTCCTATGATAGTAAGTGGTGCTTGTTGTTGCGGTTGTTGGTTGGTTGGACGGTTTGTTGTCTTCACATCACTTCCGTCTTCTGTGTCTTTACTTGAAATCCTTCCTGTCTTCACTGGTTCTTCCACTGACTTGTTGTTTTTCGTCTGCAAGTCTTTGAGTCTATATGACATGAGACATAAATTATCGGCAATTATCCAGATCTTCTAGAGTCTTCATATCGGTCCAGCATATTCCTGTCTTCTCACTCCCCACAGTCTGACGCAAAATCTACTCCGACTTAATTAAGAATATCATCGGTAATAATAGGTGGTCAGCGTTCACCTAAAATGCCTCTTGGAATTTTCCGTTGTGATTCACCTTACACATGCTATTGGCAAATAATACTTGTATGATATAAACTACGTGTTTTGTGAAAATGAATAAAAAGCACAGAGTGAAGATAATTAAAGTGCAGTGGGAAATAATATGGAATAGTGGCGATTAAATCTAAGATGATGTCTTGGTAGCTCAAAGTAAACATAGAAGATGAATTTCCACCCTTCGACAGATCCTAGGACATAGGCATTCTTACCGACGTCCAACAATCGTTATATTTCTTGACCTAAGGGCGGAATTCGATTCTGTCGACCGAGAGGTTCTCTGGCGATGGTCGGCTGTAAAGGGAATGCCGAGAAAATACATTGCACTGATCAAGGCACTCTACTCGAACTCATGCAGCCAGTCAGGTGAGGGCTTACGGTGAGTTGTCATCTGAAGTGGTGACGACCAGTGGTGTCCGTCAGGGATGCCCATTATCCCTATTTCTATTCAATTTCATCATAGATGTACTGATGGATTTAACCCAAGCTCACTTCACAGACTCACGGATTGACTTGCTACCAGGGAATAATCTCGTTGACTTGGAATATGCAGACGATATAGTCGTTCTAGGCGAGGACGCTGAAAAAATGCAGTCTTCTGAACACATTGAGCTGCAATCTACGAATGTTTGGCATGCGATCCGTTCCCGCCAAATGCAAGATGATGTTACATGACTGGACTACTCCGACTCCTAGATTAGAATTAGGGAGCGAAGTGGTAGAGCACGTTGACCGCTTCACTTATTTGGGAAGTACCATCAGCCAGTGTCAACGGGTCGATCTCTGACGAAATCTCAGCACGAATACAGAGGGCTAGTTTCGCATTTGCTAGTTTACGCCGTCTCTGGCGTAGATGAGATATCCGACTATCGACCAAATGGCGGGTGTATTGCTCATCAGTCCGCTCCGTCCTCCTTTATGGCTGTGAGTGAGACGTGGCCATTGAGAGTGGAAGACATGAAAAGATTAGCTGTCTTTGATCATAGGTGCCTGCGTTCTATCTCCCGTGTGAAGTGGTATAATAAGGTGAGCAATATTGAGGTTAGGCATCGGTCAAGTGCTAGGGAAGGAGAGGAAATCAATAGACGAGTCTATGAAGTTATATCAACTGAGATAGTTAGGACATGTGTTAAGTATGCCTAGTCATCGCCTTCCTCAACCGACGGGGAATGTTTGCTGACATGTGATCAGGTTGGAAAAGAGTCACTGGTAGTCAAACCAAAATATGGCATCAGTCAATGAAGTCCAAAACAGTTAGTTTAATCCAGTCAAGCAGGGAGGTGTAAACTTCCAGGCTGGGGTCATCGGGACGGTGAAAACCAGTAGCTGGAAACAATCGATGATATGGCTCAAAATCGTTCTCAATGGGCTGGCGCAGATGTATCCACTCCTTGTGATTTATAATACCCAATAAATCTTTATTGTTTTTCGTTGATATTATTATTATTCCTTCATCTCATATCTCTGTCTACTGTCTCTGTTATGCATTTCTTCTACTTTCTCATCTTGCTTTGTGCGCTACATGGAGGGAGAGTGGCGACTTGAACTGCTGCACATGGGTGAAAAATTCTATATCAAGAACAGATAGAGGATGGATTTTACTTCCTTTGAATGCATCATTGAAGATATTCAGATTTCAGGCTTTGTAGATGGTTGTAATTAATTCTAATGTAAATTTTGTATTGATTCCTGTAGCTTCACCTTTGGATTGAATATGTAATTGCATATTTTTAGGCGATTTATTCAGTCATCGATATACGAACGTACATGATCCTACTGTTTTACTCCCATGTTCATCTCCCACCAAATAAGATAAGATAGCATTGTTTGTTCACGTAGTTACTCCTTTTCGTAGCCATTGTGCTGGCGTATGTCGAGTGAGCAAAACAAGAGTTAATTCCTCTAAACGTGATATTGTTTGTGGATTAATAAATATAAAACTTGAGCAAGAAGTTATTAAAAAAAAGAGCTGTTCACTCAAGTCTTTATTATTTTAAATATCCAATGGTGATTTTCAAATTACTTTAATGTTATATCAGTTAGTGGTATCACTGAAAAATTCTTTCATGTTTATTACCGTATTTGCGTCGGTGGTATAGCGGTTAGGACGCTCGCCGACCATCCACATGGTCCGGGGTTCGACCCCCGGCCGGCGCACTCCTTTACCTCACTGAGCCAGAAATAATGCTGGTAAAGAGGAAAGGTTGGGCATGAGGCTAGCAACCCCATCCTGTAAAAATTAAACACTGCTACAGAAACTTCAAGCCACTAGCTTGGAGCCCTATGTTCCACTGGGAACGTGAAGGAAAAATTATTATATTATTACTATTATTACCGTATGACTTTTGGCCAAAGTTAAACTTTAAGCACCACTAACTACCAATCAGCAAATTGTCTCGAAAACACCAGTCACGGGAAGGAGGCATTTTTGTGTATGGAATACATACATATTTATGAAAAAATTGCATAAAAACTGTATAAAAGTGTTACAGAGCATAGCTTCCTTTCACATGGGATAAAAACAGTCCTCAGTTTTAGGTTGGTATATCACCAGAGTATAATTCCATTGTAGGTAAAATCTATTTTGATAAAGTTTCATAGTGTTATACAGCAATATTTACCGAGCAATAGATTGTGCTCGAAACATGGTCATCAGTAAATATTACTACTGTGTAACTGTGAGACTTTATCAAAATAAATTTTACCCACAATGGAATCAAACTATATCACGGTGCACAGGTCCTGTTTTTATGTCAACAGAGTAATCTAACCACATTCTATGCATGTAATTATTTAGGTCTTCCAAAACTAACAATAACCCTAATCTTTTCTGAACCTAATCCTAGCGTGAAAATGTCCCTAAACTTAACTGTAATCTGACTCGAACAGAACCTACTGTCGCCTTTGTTAAATTAACCTAACCCTGATTTATCCTTGGCTTAAAAAGTAACTTAATCTTTCGCAAACCTGAGCTGAAACTTGCCAGATATCCAATTTAATAACATAATACTTCGATGAGCATATTTTATTGATGATGACATTATTATTTGCCGGATTCCACTAACTTGCTCAGTGAGCTTTTCAGGGTCAGTGGTGCGGTCGCACTCCATTGGTAGTTAGTGGTGCTTAAAGTTTAGCTTGGCCAACTTCTGTTGCCTGATGTCAAACTGTTAGTTACTGATACTAGTCTAAAAAAGAACTGGATCAGGTGATTTATTCTTTGTTTATATCTTTTTTTTTGATTTACAGCTTGATTCCACACTGCATTTTTGGTACAAGTATGGAATTTTCAGCACGGATATCGGTAGATATCAGGTGTGCGTCGGCAGGTGATCGAACCTCGGACCATGTGCATGGTTGGCGAGAGTCCTAACCACTGTGCCACCGACGCAATGCTCACTATTAGATCCACTTCTATCTATGCCACAAATTATCAGTAAACAAAGTAATACTTACACGTTTATAGTGGCAGAGTTGTTCCTCCTTCAAATATAGTTAGCACACATCGCATCATTTGGTAGGATAGTCAGACAATCCACGTTGGTGGTTCACAGTGGTAAATTGCTCGCCAACACCACGCACATTGACCCTACTTCGACTGCCAACCAACATTCTCTTAAATCTCGTCTAGTTTATCACCTATAAGTACCGTGATGGCAAGCAACCTAGTAGCATGTTGGCCGCATTTCAAACTTGACTGATAGAATTCAGTTTGCATCGAAGATAAGACTAGACGCACACACACACATTACACTAGTTACTGACTAGTGTCCAGTCAAAAAAATATCCAATACAGTCCTACAGGAGGTCAGTCGCGAGTCTGAATAGCTCAGTGGTTGGTAATGCCTCTGACTGCAGCCCTACTGGGTGATGCGGGTTTGAATCTCAGAAGGGACATGAGTTCCTTTAAGGTAGTTACAGATGATAAGCCTTGCTGACTTTTGAGTGCCAACTAGCACGAAACCTAGGTTGAAGGCTTCCTGTGGCCGATTGCCTTCAACCAGCTAATATAAGTAATCCCATAGAAACTGGAAAGCTAGGCATGAGACCAAAAACACCGCCTTATAAAAAAACACTGCTACTACGGTGACTTCAAAGTTCTGTAGCCATCTGTTCTATTCGGAACGCAAAAAATGAAAAGAATTCAGACTGAAAATGTCTATATTTTGCATACTGTCGTTAGCCGAATAAATTAAATCACACATCAAAGGAATTTTTTATTTTTAAAGTATCTATCTATCCGTTTAAAAAAACAAAATAGACACCGCAACAATGTGATTTAAATCATTCGAAGTAAACTGTTAACGATTTCCTAATTTGAAGGAAAACGTATCAATTTTAACAAGTATAGACAACTTTTTTGCTAACAAAGAGTTTAATATTAATTATCTCGTATTTGTGAGCGCAAATAGCAGTCTAGTCGTAACTGTAAAAATAACACAGTGTATCCATATTTTCAGTATGCTTTGTGCCGTCTAAGTGCAAAATACTGTTACAAGATTGGCAGGAGCCTGTACCTGCACTCACTGTTGCGGGTGAACCGCTTGAAGTTGTTGATTAGTTTGTGCATATGAGTAGTTGTGTGAGTGCTGGCGGAGGGGTGACGGATGAGGTTTCCAACGGTATAATGAAGGCTAGGGTGGTATACATCAACTAGAGCTACCTCCGGTGCCGTCGCGACGTTACCCTGGCTGTCAAAGGTCGGGTATATAATGGTTCGGTGTGGGCTGTCTGGCTCTGCGCCTGTGAAACCTGGTCTCTCCGAGTGGGCTGAGGATGTGCGGCGACTCTGTGTGTTCGATCATCGCTGTCTCCGTAGGATTGCTTGCGTTTGATGGATGGCATCATCGCGTGATTAATTCTGAGGTTTGGTGGCGTGTGTTTGAACACAGTGGAGATCACCATTCACTGAGTGTCGTCATTTGGAAACACCGGCTCCGGTGGCTTGGACATGTGCTTCGAATGTCATCCCAGAGCCTTCCGTACAGGTCTCTGTTCGTTAGTCCTGGGCGGGATGGGAAACGCGGAGGGGTGGTCAGTCCATGACATGGCGTCGTGGGATGAAGGATTTTTGTGCTAGATTAGCATCGGTTGGTGTGTTACGACTCCCTGATTGGGGTCCGCGAGATAGCTCGAATCGATGGCCCGAAACGTTATCGGATATGGCCAAGAATCGTAATCAATGGCGAACGTGTTGCAATTTCCTTTTCTCTTCCCTTCCCGATAATAGTTAACGAATACTGTTTGAACTTGTTAAGCATGACTGTTTTCCTTCCAGATGAAGTTCTTTATCCGTTCTCTACTTATGTTTTTTTTACTTTTGATCTATGTTGTTTTATTATTATTGTGTGGCGCATCTTTCTTGAAGTAATTTGGTGGTGGATGATGACTAGCAGTGGAATCTAGGATGCATCGTCACGTTTCGTCCTACTTGAGACTCGTCAGCCAGTGGGTGTACCTGCATTTCCCCAATGAATTAAAAATAATAACTGACATCCATTGTGCAAGAGGTGGTTCTTGTGGCTCAGTTGGTTAATGCTTTGACGTTTGAAGCGATAGGCACTAGGTTTGAGCCCCAGTGGGAACATTATCATTCGCTAGGGAATTTTTTTTTGATTTACAGCTTGATTCCACACTGTATTTTTGGTACAAGTATGGAATTTTCAGCGTGGAGATCGGTAGCCCGAAATTCGCAGGCCGACCATAGATATCAGGTGTTCGTCGGCGAGAGCTCGAACCCGGGACCACGTGCATGGTCGGTGAGAGTCCTAACCACTGTGCCACCGACGCACCGACGGAATGCAGGCACATCCGGATGACAAGTCCCAAATAGGACGAAATGCGACGTATCCTGGATTCAACTGCTAATCACCGCTCATCAAATTACTTCAAGTTAATCCTCAGACATCGAATCGGAGGGGGGGGACGCGAACATTTCCGTCCAATCGATCAGCAGGAAAATCAGATTTTAATTAAAAATAAGGATAATTAGTTCTTACTTAACCGGTTAAATTTTGTTTATAAATCATAATTTGAGTTATTCGTGTTTTTGTGTGGATAATGTACTTTTATTAGTTTATTTTGGTCACATGTAAACAATTGGAGCAATTGTTATGGATACATTTCACTACATATATATATATATATATATATATATATATATATTGATGAGAATTAAGTAAAACTCAAAACATTGATCATTATTTAATATTTTTTTTAATTTCATTTTCTTTTTCAAGGTGATATTGCTGTACTTTTACGTTGTGGTTTAACTGTACCATTGGCTATGGCATTCAATTTCGCTTCTGCATGTACAGCCTATATTGGATTTTTTATTGGTATATCTGTTGGTGAATTGTCTGATGTAGCACCATATGTGTTTGCTGTGACTGCTGGATTCTTCTTGTACATTGCACTTGCAGATATGGTAAGTGATTTATAATATTAATAAATAGTGATGTAGATGGGTGAGCGTCGGTGGCACAGCAGTAGAATGCTCACCGACCGTGCTGGTGGTCTGGGGTTTGATCCCCGGCTGATGAGGCACACCTTCTGCCTCACTCAACCAGCAAGTAGTGAGATTGGTAAAGGGGGAAGGTTGGGGGGCATGAGGCTAGCAACTCCATCTTGTAAAATTAATCACCACTGCTTCAGAAACTTCAAGCCTCTAGCTTGAAGGCGCCCTATGTTCTACTGGGAACGTAAAGGAATATATATATATATATATATATATATATATATATATATATAATTTTTTTATTTCAGCTTGATTCCACACCGTATTTTCGGCACAAGTATGAAATTTTCAGCATGTGATATCGGTAGTCCAAATTTTGCAGGCCAACCATAGATATCAGGTGTGCGACGGCAGGGGATCAAACCCCGGACCACTTGCATGGTCGGCGAGAGTCCTAACCGCTGTGCCGCCGACGCACATAGAGATAGGTTGTGTGTATGTATGTTTGTCAATTTGCCATGTTATCGTTTTAACAGTACCACTATTTGAAGAAAATTAGCATTCTTTTGTAACAATATGACAGACTGACTGCTGTCAACATAGAACTTTGCACAGAAGTGCAGCAGTTCATGTTGCCACACTCCATACAATACACGGAGGAGAAAAACAGTAGATTGGAAAAATGATAGTACGCATAAATGTTAGGGGAGAAAGAATTGTAAGGTTTAGTGGAAGATCGCAAATAGTGAATGCATCTGTATCAGCCATTGAGAATGATTTTAAGCCAGCCATATCAACAATTGTCTCTAGCTATTGGTCCCTAGAATCTCAAGGAACCCAATCAGACAGTAGTCTACACCTACCTACGTGGCTGGCTCAAACTAACTGTTAAACATTTGATGGACAGATGGAAAGTTTTAGTTTGATCACCACTAAACCCTTTTCCAACCTGATTCATCCTGTCAGTACGCTAACATATCTCATCGAGGAGGCCGATGACACGCTATGCGTAAAACACTGTCGTAATCATTTCAATCGATCTAACTTCACAAGCTCGTTGAGTTGTGGTGACAGCTGCCTGCTAGCCAAATTGGTAGACAGTAATTTACGTCAATGTTTATGCCCCAAATATCGGTCATGTGAAGGCAAGAACAAAGACCGACTCAACAACCAATCACAGCAGACTTTGCGTAGGCGGATACAGTTAACATATAGATGGTCTGACGTTCAAGAAACAGTCACAAAGAGATGAAAGATTAACTTTCAGTGAGAAACAATCAGTCAGAAGACTGTTTTTTGCTAACAGTAATCTATAATAATCTGCATGAAAATCTATAAATATGTGTTGATTCCCTTAATAAACGATCTGTTGCCTGGCCCTTGTCTTCTCTTGTTACACAGTGATTCCCCTGCTTACCTAACACTCGATATCTAACTTCCACTGAATATTTCACACTGTATAATTTTTAGGTAACAAAGGAAATGTTTAATATGCTAGTATAATACGACACTGGGATTCCACTGCTGTCATCACACACTATAACCAACTTTATTTGCCTATAACTGTTGGTGTAAAAAGACGTCGAAAAACTCCTCTATATTTGTTACTGCCACAGCTAATAATGTGATACCGATACCACCATCTAAATGTCGTTGACTAACTAAAGCAATAATAACTGTCATTATGACTGCATTTAAACCGCCTCAGTATAATTTTCAAGACTTATATCAACCTTTCCTATTATGGCACTGTCTATGATATTCTAAAGGAAGAACTTGAAGTTCGCGTATTTGAAGTATAAAGGATTTTCAGCAGGGAACACACACACACAGATCTACCTATGACATGAATTTAAACAGTGAGTATTATATTCTATGGGTAGATAACATTTAGGCCAAAATTGTTCATTGGTTGGAGAGATTTAATCATGAGCTGACATCAGTTAGAGAACCATTGGAAAACCAACTAGGAGTACTGGAGATCCACCGGGGTTCAAACCCAGGACCTTCTGGTTACAAGGCTAGCGAGGTTGTAGACCATTAAGCCACTGGGACTCGCCCGATCCAATGACCAGTCCATGAATTCTAACTTCTGTCAATTCATGACATAGTGCGACCACTAGCCATTGTCTTCTTCGATGAGTTACTGTCTCATCTTCAACCTGCTGTTGTACCCTACTGGTCACGGCTTCCTGCTAGAACCCCAGACTAACTGCCTGAATAGGGCGAGTTGCTATTGAGCATCAGATCGATTTTGAAGTAATAGTTTTCTAGGGGTTTCCTTTGGTTGGTTGGAGATATCATTTTATACTTCCTGGGAAGCCATGACCAATAGGGTAAAGCAAATTGAAGGTGACAACAGTTACTCATCGAAGCTATTGCTAAGTAGTCGCTTTATGTCGTGAATTGGCAGAAGTTAGAATTCATGGACTGGTTATTGGATCGGGAGCTTAGTGGACTACGATCTCGCCTTGTAACCGGAAGGTCCTGGGTTCGAACCCTGGAGGTGGGTGCGTACCTCTTAAGAGTCCTAAACTAGGACGAAACAGCTGGGTGTTCAGCACTTCCTGCAGGTTTTCCAATGGTTCTCTAACTGACGTCAGCTCATGATGAAATCCTTCAACCAGTTAAACAAAGTCCCTACAAAACCAATACCTAAAATTGTTGAGATGATTCATTCATTACCGTTACGTAGAACTGTGACACCCTTATTATCATTCATTTTACCGCCTTATATATGCATGCTTTTAGTTCATAAATCATTTTAACAACAGAATTGCATGAATACTTTATTAAAACACATTCCTTTACTTCGGGTATACTCTCAATACATCTTATTACTGTTTGTGATTTTTTTTCCTTCACGTTCCCCAGTGGAACACAGGGCTTCAAGCTAGTGGCTTGAAGTTTCCGTAGCAGAGTTTATTTTACAGGATGGGGTCGCTAGCCTCATGTCCAACTTTTCCTCTTTACCAGCATTATTTCTGGCTTAGCGAGGTAAAGGAGTGAGTCGGCCGGGGATTGAACCCCTGACCATGTGTATGGACGGCGAGCGTCCTGACCGCTATACCACCGACGCACACTGTTTGTGAAGTATTACTCAAATGCTACGTCCACCTAGCCATATAGTTCGGTGGATAGACCAACGTGCAGGGTTGTACAAAAGTTAGTCAATTCAAGAAACCACCCTTTTGAAAAATAGCTTGATAGATTAATATAATTTACTATTGATCTTTAGACAATATACGAATGTGCATCTGTAATACATTAAGAGGTCAAGGTTGTATGTACACCTGTTTCTCAGCAGGTTAGATTTTTGTCATAAACCTAAACCAGTTCGAGAGATCACTGAAAACCAAGAAGGACTAGACAGGTGTTTCGTCCTACTTTGATTGAGACTCATCATCAGCGAGGAAACCACTATTTCTTCAGGTTACCAGACCTAGCTCGTTGGTCATTCAGAGATACCTGGGGTGGAAATCATTGACTCCTGAATTCTAACACTATCAACTCGTGATGTAACTAGCGCTGCCCTTGTCAGTGCTTTCGATGAGCATTCAATTCATCTTGACGTGGTCAAGACTTTTTATTGCAGCTTCAGGAAATCGATCCGGTAGCCATCAGTGAGCTGGTAACTGATATTCCAGTTCAAGTGGCTAAATGATCAACGAGTTAAGCCTTATAACCCATGACGGTCTTAAGTCTGATTCCTAGCAAGGGTGTGGGTCCTAACTGACGAAGAGTTTCAAAGTATAACGAAACAGCTGTCACGTACTTCTTGGTTTTCAGTGATCTCTCTCTCTCTGTCTGTCTGTCTAACTGATGGTTAGTTCGTAACGGAAATCCAACACTTAAAATCAGTGCAAAACCCTGACAAATCCTGTAATCATAATAAGCCCACAAATTATCCTTTCGACTGTTATGTGCACAGATGACCTCATAAAACATGAAATTCTAAAAGTAGACTGTGGTGTGAGGCACACTTTATGTTTAAACTAATTTGAAACAATTAGTTCAGTTATGGCGTAAATTCTGATTGTCTGTAAAATTGAATGCATTTGGTCTATACATTTAAAACCGTGTATGTTCAGTTTATATTAAGGAGACACAAACCTGAAAGGTCAAATAAAGTAAACAAATTCATTTAGGTATAAGAGTAAAATTTGAACACTGCATTAGAGTATTATTCTATAAAATTGAATACAGTGTCATTCATTTAATTAATTTTTTTTAAAGATTTTCCCGATGATTGATTAGAGCGAAGTGCTCGGTCTCAGGCTGACATGTCTGTTGGCTTCTTGTGCAGATGCCTCGACGATATTTGGACATGTAATTAGAGGTTAATCGGTGGATGGTGACTAGCAGTGAAATTCAGCCAAATTGCGCATTTCGTCCTATTTGGGACTCGTCAACTGGATGTACTTGTCTTTCCCAGGGAGTGATGATGTTCCCAGTCGAGGCACCTGCGCAAGAAGCCGACATGTCCACCTGAGACCGATTACTTAGGTCCAATCAATCGATGAGGAAGATCTTAGATTATTCAGCCTCTGGAACTCGATTCATTGGTCAACCAATGAGTTCTTATTTCTACCAATTCGTGATTGAGATTGAAAACAAAAGTTAACTTGTGGAAATAATATAGTTCAATGTTAATGTAACGGTTTATTCAATATATTTGTCTGATATTCAAGTGTTAGTTTGTAGGGATTTGATTGGTTACAGGATTTCATCATGAACGGATATTGGTTAGAGAACCATTGGAAAACCAACAGGGAGTACTGGACAGCTGTTTCGTCATAGTTTGGGAGTCTTCATCAGTACTCACCCACCGCCAGGTTTCTTTCTCAGGACCTTCTGGTTACAAGGCGAGCCAGTTTTTAGACCATTAAGCCACTGGGACCCGATCCAATGGCCAATCAATGAATTCTAACTTCTGCCATTGGTCAACGGGCTTGCCTAGTAACCCGAAGATCCTGGGTTCGGACCCCGGTGGGTGCGTACTGCTGAATAGTCCTAAACTAGGACAAAACAGCTGTCCAGTACTCTTTGTTGGTTTCCCAATAGTTCTCTAACCGATGTAATATTTGTCTGTGTTTGAAAAAGGAAAACAAACGTAAACAGGTGACACTAGAAGAATAATATAATCCACGAAAAGCACACTTATATACGGGTATATCCAGCTCAGGCAGGGAAAGTGCCAATTAGTAGTTTCTGTGAACAGTTATCGCTAACCATATGAGTGCCCTTGGCTAGCGAGTCTACTACCACACACTTCATGATTAAAATAAGTCACATTTAATTCAATTTTAATGTAGGTTTACATTTCACACAAAGTGTGTTTATTCCTATTTTAAGTACGTGCATAGAAGTGCTAAAACTGGAGAGTGATTAGAATTGAGTTCCACGATAAGTGGAACATCATCCTGCGTTGTTAGTCAAGTAAACGACAAGTATAATTCACTCATAGCTCTATTCTATATCATCTTGTGGATACAGAAAATAAGATTGATGTTAACAAGGCGGGTTTCAAAGTCATTTACCACATACCAACTAGTATTAACTTCACCTTAAGAGTTCGTTTACTACATATTGCTGGGGCTGGCAGTTGGGTTCCACAATAAGAAAGCTAACTTATGTATCCAGAAGAAGTTGATTAGTTGAGACACTGTCCTTACCCCGCTGGTCATCAAGATTCTAATTATTCTCAATTTGTTGTGGAAATTTCCTTAATTTTATTTGATATTCTATGTTTTTACGAGTTGATCACGGATTGATATCAGTTAGAGAACCATTGAAATCCAGCCACAGGGAGTACTGGACAGCTGCTGTTCCATCCTAGTTTGGGAATCATCAGAATCCCAATGGGTGAGGACTGCCTATGATTCCCAAACTAGGATGGAACCGCAGCTGTCCAGTACTCCCTGTGGCTGGATTTCAATGGTTCTCTAACTGATATCAATCCATGATCAAGCCCATAAACACATAAATAACCCTTACAAACTAGACTATAGATATTCTATTCTCTATTACATTTTTATGCTTATTAGAATTAGTGCATCTTTAATGAACTGTAATTCCATTGGTCTTACTTAACAAATCGATATTATTTAAAAAAACACTAACACTGACGAGTGCCAACTAGCACGAAACCTAGGTTCAAGGCTTCCTTTGGCCGATTGCTTCCAACCATCTAAACACTAATATTGTTAATGACGATTATTCTAGAATTTTCTATGTATATATATATATATATATATATATATATATATATTATTGTAGATCCAGAAGAGGAGATTATCGAAATGGATATTCTTCGGTCAATTTTTTTTTCTGTTTTTTTGTCGAGTTGTCTGAATGAATATTTTCGCTCTACTGATGTATTGATTTGCCTTTCTTTTAGCTTCCAGAAATGCGCGCAATGGAAGATGCTAAAAAAGCGGAAAGTGGCAGTGGTTGGGGAATATTCCTTACTAATCTACTCGGTTTACTATTTGGTTTTGGATGTATTGTTACAATAACATTCACTAGCCAGTATATTAATATTGGATAATTGTTAAAATAGAAAGAAGTGTTTATAATTCTGGACAGTGATCAGGACAATGATAATAATTTTATTTAAAAAAAAACAATATGCAATAATGACAGCAAGATGATTACACTTTATAATTTTGACAAGTTTTACCCACCACCTTTGTTTCATTTCCACAATTTCTCCCGGTTCTTCTTGCTTCTTTTTGCCTTTCTCTCTCTTTCCACACACACACTCTTCTCTTTTTGCAGTGTTGTTTGTTTTCTCCTGATGTGTGTGTGTGCGCGCGCGCGCTTTTGTACTTTGACTGAGTAATTTTCAACTCAACTTCGGTCACCTGCTCCTAACTCCAACAATACAACGATCCAGTGTAATTTTATAATAATAATAATAATATGATCGTTTTATTTTTGTTTCTTTCTTTGCTGATAACTGTTTATCTTCCTTGATCCCTTTCAACTATACTTTAAGGGAGAGAGCTGCGCTCAATATGTGGAATCTAAAATGAGATTTAATCAGCGATCAAAAATTCAATTCAATGATTGATACTTTCTCTTCTTCTTCTTTCTCGCCTTATTTTCTTTCTGTAACTTGTTTCCCTTTATCTCTCTGTGTATGTGTATGTGTGTGTGTGTGTGCACCTTGTTGCCTTAATGTCTCCCTACCCCCCTCCTTCCCTCCGTCTTCTTTTCATTGTCTACACAAACTATTTACTACTTTTAAAAGAGTATTGTTAAATCACCTCATAAATACCGAATTGCTACGACCATCGTTTGCCTGTGAATACTATTACTACTAATACTAATACTGCTAATATTCCTATATCAGATTTGTATAGATGACAAATAATGCAGAGTTTTTGACAAGTAGCCAGCCACACATAACACCTACACAGAATACACAGTCGTCTATATATGTGTATACAAAAAAACAAAACAACAAATTGTCTGTGTTGCTAATAATGTACTCGAACTGATATGGATTTTTATAATAAAATTTATTTAAAGTTTTTGATGACAAAAAATATTGTCTTATTATATACATAATATACATATATATATATATATATATTTACTACTGCTATCCTTTTGATGCAATACATTCTATCGTACTTCTGGTAGAAAATGAAAATTCATTGTCAGTTTCTTACTATCTTTACTATTCCCTTACGTTGCGAATGGAACTGTAGCGCTTTAACAACACATCTCCACTGCGTTCTGTTTTCTGCTATCCTCTTCAGCTGGCTAGCTGCACGATTGACCAAACTCTCTCACCTCTTCCTCACACAATCTCCTCCATGTCAACCTCGTTCTGATGACCCACTCGTCACTTCCCGTTTGCATTCCACTTGAGGCATTGCCTGATGTGCGATATCATTCGACGGTCTCCTCAATGTATGCCCGATCCATCCATTTCCAATTTATCCTACATATCTGTTGAGCAGATGGCTCTCTCCTGTTGGTTTGTTCTCATAGTTTCTTGTTGTTTATTCTCTCTGGCCTGCCATTTGATCTTCAGTATGAAGCCAGTGAAGGTCTGCAACCTATTGTGAATCGTTTCCGGGACATGCAGTGCAAGTTTCTGACGCATATTGAAGAACCGACTTCACATTGATGTTGAAAATGCAAATCTTGTTCCTTATGCTGGCTGAGTGTAAAAGATTTCCAAACTAGTTTCAGGTTGATGAAGGTTTATTTTGCCCCTTCCAATTCTGACTGGCTTTGACATCTTCGTCTGTTCCGCCTGTTTTTGAAACGATGCTTACCAGATAAGTGAAGGAAGTAACCTCTATTAAATCCCTTCCGTTGATGGTGAATGGTGCTGGTTGTTGTTGCTCCTGCTGTTGATTGGTTATTTTCATCGCCTCGGTCTTCTCTATGTTCACTTGGAGTCCTGTCTTCGCTGCCTGCATCTTTAGCCAGTTTGTTGGTTTTCGCTTGCCTGTAGGTCTTCGAGTTTCAGTGACATTAGACATGTATCATCTACGAAATCCAGATAGATATTCTTCTCATCAGTGGTGCAGCGCATTCCTGACTCCTCGCCCCCAACAGTCTGATGCATAATCCAGTCCACTACAATTAAGAATATCATCGGTGATAATAGGCTGCTAGCTTGTCTTACTCCTCTATATACACGTTTAACGTCTCACTGAGTTTTCCATTGTGGATCACTTGACATCTATTTTTATTTATTTTATTTTTTGTTTACAGCTTGATTCCAAACTGTATTTTTGGTACAAGTATGGAATTTTCAGCATGGATATCGGTAGCCCAAATTTCGCAGGCCGACCATAGATATCAGATGTGCGTCGGCAGGGGATCGAACCTCGGACCATGTGCATGGTCGGCGAGAGTCCTAACCACTGTGCCACCGTCGGTGGGATTGTCATATAGCCAGCTGTTGAATGAGGTTGAAAATGACTTGAGGTACGCCAAAGTGTTGAAGTAGCTCCCATATTACTTCTCAGTCAACGCTGTCTGTCGAAGGCCTTCTCGAAGTTAGCTTAAGTTGTTGTGATTTCTCCTTTTTACAACACCTACAGTGAGATGATAATTTTGATCCATGGACTTGTCGTGTCAAATGGTGTAGCGCGACAACAACTGATCTGTATTCATTTGTGAATTTTCCTAATGTGTAGGTATATGTTTGAAAATTACAGTATTTGAGATTCCAGATTTCCATCTAGTAAGTTGTGTTACCTTAATTGTTGTAGAGTTTGTACGTTGACAGCTGGAATATAAAAGTTGATAGTCTTGTTGTAAACAAGTAGGAATTATGTTCTTACTGGCTACTGATCATAAAGTTTTTGAATAGGTTGAAGAAACTCAGTCGAAAATAGTATTCCCCGTGAGATGAGGTAATGTGATAAAGACAATTGTGGGCTACATCTTGGGAGTTGATAACTTACATTTGCATCACTTGAGAGAGTTTCGTGAATGAGTTTGTTTTTCAAGGTGACGAAATTAGTGGAGTTCCCTTTGTACAAAAGCACACTAACGAGTACAGTTCGCTGACAGGTAATTAAGGTTGAAGAATTGTAGCGTCTGAGATTTTACAGCTACTTTTTTCTGAATGCTGAGGAAGTACAGGCGACTTCTTAGTCATTCAAGGCAAACACTATACCACTACCTGACACTAATCACCAACACTGCGACTTCCTCCTCAGACTATTACCATGATGTGAGCCAATTATATACCATAAGAGTAACTGATTCCACAATCACCGCTTTTTATCCTCATATGGTAGGATCTACAGGAATAATCGTCTTTTAGAAGCCTCTCATCGTTCAGCTGCAATATCTAAGCTTTTTGTCGGATGGAAGTCATCAAGCAGTAAAGTCAATCACTCGTTAACTTTGTTAATACTTAAGTAAATATATGGTAAAGGGAGATTTTATTAGTTACAAGACTTCATCATAAGCTGATATCGGTTAGAGAACCATTGGAAAATCAGTAGGCAGTACTGGACAGCTGTTTCATCCTAATGTGGAACTGTTCAGTAGTACGGACCCACTGCGGTTCGAACCCAGGACCTCTTGGTTAAAAGGGGGGAGGCTCTTAAAAGATTAAGCCACTGTGACCCGGCTCAACGGCCTATGGATTCCAACTTCTGACAATTCACAAAGCTTTTATTGATGATTATTCCTGACTCACAGATGGTGAGAACTTCTATTTTTCTGCAATATCATTCAAATGTATGGTGTAAGTAAACTATTTACGACTTATGAAGCAAAAGGAGTTTAGCAGAGAGTTACTCATTTTAGTGACTATTCTTCTTTTGTAACTTAAAAGGGCAGGCATTAAGAGTAGTTGATATCACTGTTTAGCATATTTTACCCCAGTGATACACCACCCAGTATTTTGGGATAAGATAATGATCGACCTAATGAAGGTTGTACTCGCAAGATCAAAGCATAGATACTGATGGCTCGTTTGGTATTTGCATCATCACATCATGCTTGACACAAACACCAGTTGTGGTTAACATCTTCAACATAACCACTGTGTAAAATATCGTGGTGTTTTTATTTTGTGTTTGTCTGAATTGGGAGCTGATTGTATTAGAAATGGAAAAAACACAACATTTTGAACTATTAATTAACAGCGAGATTATAACTACAGAGTACTTGACAGTCTGGAGTCCGTTGAAGTTAACAATGAAAGCGGCAAAAATCAAACAGTGACTCAGTTCATGGGAAGAGAAACGCTTGTTTATTAACTTTAAAAGTTGATTATGGCTGCAGAATAATTAGGTTATGAAATGAATATGCTAAATATGTGCACCTCTCGTGTCATTTCAGTAGTGCATGATGTGGAAAGGCATCTCAGAATGTTTGCTTGATTCTACTCAGTGTTCCTGTTCTTTTCATTGATGAACTTGTCGCGTTATGTGACGTGCGACGCTCAATTAACATAGACGTTTTGATTCATCGATGCAATAACTACACACGAAGAACACTTAGAATACTTTAGATCCTAAACTCTTGAATGTTTCCAGCAGATAATTAGACATTAAACTGAACAGTCCGTCTGTATTGATTTAAAAAATTACTAAGAAAGTGGAAAGTGTATAAGCAACAAAGTAATCATACTTTCAAAAGTATTTCAATAGTGACTTGCAAGGTATTTTGCAGTAGACAAATGCAAAATATAAGAACAAAAAAGTTCAACGAACAGTCTCTTTTCGGTGAATTCATTCACTTATCTGTACAGTCGCATTGATGTATCATTATTTCATGTATGTGTGTACATTAGGACTGTCAAACAAAAATAAAATAAAAATTAGTTAGGGTTACTGTTTGCGTTATCAGAGTGCTTCTAAAATGTAATGAGAGACCGAAACTGTAACTACGGAGGGGAGGGGGTGAAGATTAGTAAATTCTAAGAAGGGTTGCGTAATATGAAGTAGGATGTTATTGGAGACACGTGTCTGAAAAATAACTTATGTAGCCTCCAATGAGTAGAAGAGGAGGTCAATCATTTGAGAAAGATAATATCTGAGAAAGGTTATCCCTCGTGCT